TGAGGTACTCCATACTTAATAGATAATTTTGAAGATAGTCTATTTTTATAAATTACTTGTTGCAATCGATTTGATAAATAAGCTTTAACTAGCTTAACAGAACCAGCATCAAAGCCAAAATTTTGTAATTTAATTAACAATTGGTTATGAGATACGCAATCAAATGCTTTCGTAAGATCGTAAAAGGATGCCTGTGTATAATGTTTGTTTTCAAAACATTCGTTAACATATGAAACTAATTTGCAAATTGCTGACGTAGTTGATTTATTTTTCCTAAAACCAAACTGTGACTCGTTTAGGAGGTTATTGGATTCAAGATACGCAATTAACAGGTTATATAAAACTATTTCGAAAATTTTACCCAAAACAGGTGTAATTGAGATTGGTCTGTAATTTGAGACCTCATTAATTGACCCCCTTTTGAAAACGGGTACCACTTTACTTATTTTTAAGCAATCAGGGAAAATATGAACAGCAATACATTGATTAATCAGCTTAGCTAAGGGAATAATAATTAAGTTTTGAATAACTTTTATGGTGTTCGGATTCAAACCATAAATATCTTTACTGGAAGTATTCTTAAGCGTAGAAATGACATTTCTCATGTCGTTAAACGATATTTCATGAAAATTGAACAATAGTAATAATGACATGAAAATACGTAAGAACAAGTGCATGAACATACCGGATAATTTGATGTTGAAAAATGATGAGAACATTAATAAATACTTTATGCATAGGACAGACAGGGTGCATACAATGCATCGCATTAATTAAACATTGATAGTACTAAACTTTCGCATAGGCGCACTTTTGCACTATGATTAACAAAGGCTCTGTTAGTATAAATAATTCTAAGGCTACTGTAAGCTCTTTGAACGCATTTATTTATAATTAATGAATTTATAATTATTTTTTATTTTTCCTGATGAATGTGCAATAAAGGCTATTATTATTATTATTATATTTCATATTTATAACAATTAACCATGCAGAATTGTAATAATAATAAACTTCGGATTAAGTACGATGAAAAATTATTTATTTATTGTATTTGGTGTTGGTGCTACATATGTTTCGAGAAAATATCTCTCATCAAGCATGACTGCATTGAACAGAAAAAACGGAAAAACATTTATTAGTAAAGGACAGAAAAACATATTAAAATAAATTAGCGTCAAGAATTTACTAAAAAAAAGTACATCATCTAATTTTGGGATCTCGATATCATCATTCTCGCAAGTCAATTTTAAATCAATTTTTTTCTCACTTTAAAAAGGGGAACTATTAAGAACTGTAAATAAATTAAATATTAAAGAGAGAAATACAACCAAAATGAAAGAAGAAAAATGGTGTGAACTTTCTTGTTTCTTTGAAAAAATATTGTCGAGGTTAAAATATCAAAAAACCACACTATTATAAAAACGACGTTGCTCAAATAAAACTCAAAAAGCTACCAAAACAGAAATATATAGTAAAATTATAAAGTAAAATACATTAAAAGTTGAAAGCACTAGCAATTCAACATAACGACAACCAGTTACGAAAAGTAACAAATAATAAAACAGATTATACAGAGTGTCCAATTACTGCGATATCGGACGATATCTCCTTACAGGGTGTCACTAGAAGAAAATGTTTATACAGGCTGTTGCAAAAACAAAGTACAAGGTACAACTTCGTAAATTTAAATGGAACACCCCATATTTTATTACATTTTTGAATTACCCTTAAAATTCGACATACTTTTTGTTAACCATTAACAATACCAAAATGTTACCGTTTTTGAAATATTCAACATTTTGTGAAAAAATCTCCGTCTGCACGTGTCTATAAAAGAAAGCGTACCCAATTTATTTAAGACCCTGCAAAGCAAATCTTTTGTAGATTATTACTGCATAGTTACAGTAACTTCATGCCCCTATAAAAATCTGGTAACCTTCTACAGGATGTTCGTAATATTGTACTCAATATCAGAAACTTGAAATAGCTATATCTCATTTTTTTTAAATGGAATGCCTCAAATTTTTTTATCTTAAATTATTCGCCAAGTAATAAGGTTTCTTTTTTATAAAGCATGTTCTATACCTATTTGCAATAGTTATCAAGTTATTTACGCTTTTTACAAATTTCTCCTTTAATACCCATTTGATTTCAAAAAATGTTTGTTGGTTGGCTATGAAAATAATAATTGATAACAACAAAGCAAAAGAATGCTTTGAATTTGACAGTCTGCTAAATTTGTATAAACTAATAATATTCAATATGAATTTTTTAAGAGATGAATTAATAAAAATGGTTTATTGTTTGGGTGCAAGTGATGAAAATTGTTTATTAGCAAGTAGAATTTATGCACAAAGGTTTCCAGAAGCTGAACGCCATCCAAATTGTTTAGTATTCGAAAGACTTAAGGAAAGATTCGAAAGAACCGGCAATGTAAATTATGAGTTAAAATTACAAAGAGAGAAAACAGCAGCAAGTACAGAAAATGAAATGTTAGTCATGCAAGCCGTAGTAGAGAATCCGCATATTTCTTGCATACAAATTGAGCAACAGTTAGGCATTAAGAGATCCACTACCAACAAAATTATTAAACAACATAAATTCCATCCTTAACATGTACTACTTGTTCAAGAGTTATCTAATGAAGATTATGTAAATCTTAGGAATTTTTGCCTTTGGCCGTTAGAAAAAAATCTGACTTTTTTGATTATGTATTGATGACAGACGAAGCTACCTTCCATAAAAATGGATGTGTAAACCGTCACAATTTTCATTACTACTCTGATGAAAACCCAAGATATCTGAGAGCATTAGACCATCAACACAGATGATCACTTAATGTATGGGACGGCATCATGGGAACAAAGGTATTCGGATCATATTTTTTTAATGAAGCTGTAAATGGTCAGAACTTTCTAAATTTCTTGCGGACTGATTTGGAGAATGCTTTCGAGGATTTACCACTTCAAACGGTGAGGCGAATTCAGTCGTCCTGTGAGGGAGTATTTAAATTTACATTTTCAAAACAAATGGACTGGTAGGAGAGGACCGGTTTCTTGGCCGCCCAGATCTCTAGATCTATCAAAACTTGATTTTTTCTTATGGGGTTTTGTGAAAAAAACTAGTTTATCAAATGCCTGTTACTACCATAGAAGATATGAAGGAAAGAATTAAAAACGCTTTTAACGAAGTAAGCTGCGAAATGCTGCAGAGAGTAAGCAATTCCTTTGTTAGAAGAATTCGTTTGTGTGAAGAACGTCAAGGCAGACACATTGAAAATTAAGAATTTTAAGGGTAATTCAAAAATGTATAAAAATATGGGGTATTCCATTTAAATGTACGAAGTTGTACCTTGTACTTTGTTTTTGCAACAACCTGTATAAACAAAAATATTTTTAGGTTATGCACCTTCGAGCACCAAACAACTTTATATATAAACATTTTCTTCTAGCGACACCCTGTAAGGAGATATTGTCCGATATTGCACTAATTGGACAACCTGTATACACCCAACTCTCTTTTTACACGGTAGATACGTTCCTTAGAAAACCGTGCAAAAGAAAATCGTGTAAAAAAAGTTATAATAAAATGTATATTACATATAGTTCATTTTTTTTTCTATAATACCTGTGAAATTGTTGTAAAGTTGGCAAAATTAACAGGGAGTTTTGTTTTATCATATTTTGAAATAGATATGTAACACTGACATTTGAGTTTTCGTTATTCAAAAAGAAAAGGTGCATAAAAAATGTTGTGTGGTGTTTATTTGCCATATATTTACCTAAAAAAGGTGTTTTGTTCTATTTAATTACCTTGTAGTACGTTTTTACAATAAATATGTATTTCGTTAAAATCGTATTAATCTAAAAATTTATTAGTGTTTTAACCTTAACTATTTAGTCACTGAAAAAGTTACTAAAAATCAGGAAAACAACATAAATTTTATAAGGGTCTTAGATAATACCAACAAAACCCTAAAAAATTTACATTGACAAGTATTATAGAAAAAAAACGAACTATATTTATAAAAGAAAAGCTATTTATTAGTTTTAAAAAAAATAGTGTACAGTCAAAACTTCAACATAACAATAAAAATGTAAACTAAAATTAGAAATAAAAATCAATTTCGCAAGTCTTCATTGCTACTTGATAACAATCGTGCACGTTTATTACGGACTTGACCAAAAGCGCTATCATCAGCATCATCAGTAGATATGTCTAGCACAACTGTCGGATTTAATTCAAATGAAGAATTTCTTTCGTTATTAACGGTCTCTGTTATTTTTTTTTGTAGTTGTGAAGTCGGTTATTAGCTGCTGTTTTTTTGGTTTCTCAATATGGTTATATAATTCTTCATATCCAGCTACACATAACTTAAGACTACGTTGAAATTTCAATGCACGCTCCATGTCAGGATCATGAGTAAAAAAATGTAGTTCCATACTTGTAGCAAATTTCAAGCCATCGCGAATTAAATCAGCCGTTAATAGCTGAACTTCATCTTCTATCTTGTCATTATCGATTTCTTTATTTTTACAAATTGTCATATATTCAATCAAATCATCTTCATCCAAAGGGGTTTCTCGCATCAATTCATCAATATCAGCAGTTTGAATGTTGTTAAAACCATTGCCACCAATTGTATTTGATAGAGTTATAATTTCAGAACACACAGCTGATTTTTTTACTACAAAACTTTCACTTTTGACGCATGCTGGCAATATTTTTTTCCAACAAGCATTTAAGGTTGATTGGCGCAATTGTTTAATGGCAACCGAAGCAAGTTGAAGCAAGCTTCCAAAACAGTCAAATTTGTTTCTTCCACTGAATCTAATATATTTAAACGTTTGCTTTATGTAGTACATTTTAAATGTTGCTATAATGCCCTGATCGAGTGGCTGAATCAGCGAGGTAGTATTAGGAGGTAAAATAGCAATTGAATATTTGGATGATCCAACACTGAGTATTTTACAAAAGTATTTTGAATTCCAAACCTTTTTCCTCCATATATTACTGGACTTCAGGAACAAAGCAGTTGTTGAACCAATTTGTAAACAGATCAGCCGTCATCCATGCCTTTTTATTCGCCATGAAATGGACTGAAAGTTGTTTAATGTTCTTACTTCTTAATGCTCGTGGCATAAGAAATTTGTTGATTAACAAAAGCTTTAACATTTTATCACCAGATGCGTTACTACATAACAACAATGTCACTCGAACTTTGGCCGCTTTAAAACCACCAGCTAATTTTTCAGATTTTGCTATGTAAGTCCTTTCGGGCATTTTCTTCCAAAACAATCCCGTTTCGTCGGCATTAAATATTTGTTCTGGAGTATGACCGCCCTCTTCAACGATTTTTGCTAGTTTATCCGGAAAGGTTTTTGCAGCATTTTCGTCTGCTGATGCTACTTCTCCCTTTATTTTTACATTGTGAAATGCGTGTCTTTTTATAAAACCTGTCAGCCATCCCTCACTTGCATTAAGTGCTAGTTTCTTCGTTGCCTGAAGACTTGTTGGTGGTTCCAATTCCTGAAGTTGGTTATATATTCTAAGTGCTTTTTCTTTTATATGTTTCCCATCAATAGGTATTCTTTTTGACTGTATCTTCTTTAACATTCTCTAAGATAGGATTGCGACTATAAAATGATGCTTTGGATCCAGAAATTACAGATTGTCGAATGGAATTCTCATTTTTTCTAATTGTTCTTACAGTCCCTTAGTTTAAACCAAAAGCTTTGCCAACAGATGTGGGACCTTCGCCTTTCTTTAGACAGTCTAAGCTTTTTATGTCAGTTTCTAAGGAAATTGCTTGTCTCTTCGGAAGTTGTTGTTTTTTTGGTAGGCATTTTATTAAGCAATAAGGGTGCTATAAAAAGAATCCAAAATAATATTGCTTATAGAATTTTTCTAAAGCGACAATCTAACACAATATTACCTTTTTTAGTAGCAAAGAATTATCATCATTACAAATAATACACTGGAAATTTCACCATCGAATTAAAAAAACTTTAATTTAAACATCCACTTTTAGAACTTTATCGAGATTATTTATTACGTCTCACAAACTGACCACTCTTAACACAAAATAAATACTGAATAACGAAATCCTGTGTTCAAGTTGAAGCACAACGAGATAAAGAAAAAAAGAGATCATAAAATTCTGGTATCCCCCGTAGTAGACCAAGTTATAAACGTGTGGGCATAAACCGACCGACTTCTGACTACGGTATTCCCCATTGTATTTTGTTACTGTATACATAAGTTTCTGTAAGACGCCATCAAAATTAGAATTAAAAATTTTTGTTTTGGAGTTCAAAAAATTCGTGTAAAAAACTCGAGCAACCAGCTACAGTCCACATCACCCCTTATAATCTTGCAAGTAAACAAAGCAGACAGCTCTACGTTGCTGCAACGAGAAAAAATTAAACCTAGAGAGTAGTAAAACGTAACTTGAACTTCTAGGAGGGTAAGCCAGATCAATACGATAACTTAAATATTTTAAAAAAGCTTTTTGGACTGATTCAAGTACATTGACATAATATTGATAATACGGATTCCAGACGATCACCGCGTATTCCAAACGAGATCTGATCAAAGCAAAAAATAAGGTTGGCGAACATTTCACGGATAGTCCTCTACAACTACGCACAATAAAACCATAAATCCGGAAGCACTAGGCCATAAGATCGAGAATATACTCACTGAACGTCAGACCACAGTCGAACATCACACCGAGGTCTCTCCACTTCGACACAAAATTCAGGGGTTAGTTGCCTAAGCGGTACACATAATCGATCAAGTTAATCTTTTTAGTGAATGTCATCGTAAAACACTTAGCGCCAGACGGTGGCGAAGGCACCACCCTTGCACACGAACCAGATTCCTCTGCAGATGCTTACAGTCGTCGGCATCACTTATGGCCGAGAAGATTTTGAGATCGTCGGCGAACAGCAGCCCCTCACAGTCCAGGACCTCAGTAACATCGTTAATGAAAACTAAGAACAACAGTGGACCAAGATTAGATCCCTGCGGGACACCCGAAGTGGAACAGAAACCATCGGAGATATGGCCCCCATAGTGCACGAACTGTCGTCGACCTATCAAATAAGATTTTATTAACAAAAGCAAGGGGTAGCTCAGACCGAGAATATTTAGCTTATGCAGCAAGATAAAATGATCAAGCTGATCGAAGGCGTTTTGAAAATCCAGATACACTGCATCCACCTGTCGTCAATGCAGATAGATAAGTGACTGTAGATCAACCACAAACAAAACCATGTTGCAGAGGGTTGATACATTTCCGAAGATGGAATGACATGTGCCTGAATAGAACGCCTTCAAAAATCTTGGATGCAACGCAGAGCAGTGATATCGGCCTGTAATTTACAATCTCCGTAGCGCTGCCTTTTTTCAAAATTGGGCATACGTAGGACTGTTTCCAAATGGATGGAAAGGTAGACGTTGACAAGACCAAGTTAAAGATAGTAAACAATGGCCCGGCCAGGATCGGAGCACAGTCCCTGAATATAAAACTTGGAATACCATCAACTCCAGCGGATGAAGTGTTCTTCACTTGCTTCAGCGATTCTTCCACTTCCTCCAGAGAGAAACTATTCACCGACAATTGCAGGTGATGAGCGGGTTGGCCGAAATTAAAGCCCACAGGATCCGATACGAAATGAAATTTGTACGGAAAATAGTGAAGACGAAGTATAAGGAATGAGGAAATAAGACTGGGAGCGGATCAAGAGGAGATAATCAGCAAAATAGAGAGAAAGCAACTAAATTGGTACGTCCACATAATTAGAATGTAACATAACACAATAGTAAAAAAGGTATTTGAATCAAAGAATAAGGATAAGAAAAAGAGGGGAACACCTAGGAAGAAGTGGGAAGAAAGAATAGCAAAGGTTGGGAAGAAGAGAAGGAAGACTCTAGCAGATATAAAGGAATTAGCCAGGAACCGGAGGGAACCGAAGAGGTGGATGGAGGAATAGGAAAAAGATTTATCTGACGCCATCAGGCATAAGGATCAAGAGAACAAGAAAAAGATATTGTCAGGTTTATTAAATGTGGAAAATAAGACGATAAGAATGTGTAGATCTAGAAGCAAAGGACATATCGAGAGAAACATGGATGGATGATGTAGTGGCAGATTTAAAGAGAATGGCAGGTAGGAGATGGAGACGGCTGTGTCGGAAGAAGACAGAATGCAAAAAGATCATTGAGCTGGCAAAGCCTCATCAGGGGTTATAACGCCGGAAGAACAAGTAATCTAAATGTGAATGAGGATTATAGATTGTTTTATGAAGCTATTATGAAAGAAGTTAATTTAATCCCAAGCGGAAATGGATTTCATGCCACCAGAGAATAACCAGGACCATCTACAGAATTGTCCGTTTCTGCTGCTTCACACCACCTGGGATATGAGCCACACAATTTTGGCAGTCTTTCATCAGAAGCAACATACGGTGAAGGGCCTATTACACGAGAAACTGAAAGTCTATCGGTAATGGATGAACCTATATTTGAAGACATTTTTGCTGAAATCAGCAATCACGACAACAGAAGTTTTGAAAAACCTTTGTAGAAAGCAAGCTCTTCTTTTTATGGTAAAAATAAATTCAAATCACCCAAAGAATTTATGCCACCTTTAAAGGCTGGGTCACAAACTAGTAGGTACTCGTAAGCCAAGAAAGCTCGGTAGAAGCATGATGGCGACGGACACGCCTCAAAAATTTTTACTGAAATTAACTTTAATTTATCACTTACTTATTTAATTGATTAAAAAACAAATAAATGTCAAAAACCATTAACACTCTTTCAATTGACTAGTCCGTTTCATTGTCACATCTCAGGTGTTTCATCGAGTACACATACAGGGTGGTTCATTTAACGTAAGACAAGCGATTATCTCGAAAACGGTTCATTTTACATAAAAATTAACCAAATGATAGTTGTTCTGTGCGAAGGGAGAAACCATATGACGATAACATATTTTGACCTTGACCTTATCTTCAAGGTTATATGAAGGCCACGACCATTTTTTTTAAATGGCACTCTATGTTTTTGATTTTTTTTGATTTATAAAAAATGATTAAACTATACTATTAATCAATAACAAGTATAAAATTTATAATAAATGATCAAATATTTCTTCGCCCACTTCAATACATGTTCTACTTCACGCAACCATCTCGGATTTTCAACACTCCAATAGTGCAAAAGTAAACTCATCCGAGAATAGCACGTTATCAAAGAAATTGACATCCAACCGCATTCGTTCTTGTGCCCATTGACAAAATATTAAGCGATTTTCAAAATCATCTCCATAAAGCTGTTGATGCAATTAAATGTGGTATGGGTGATACTTGTTGCGCTTTAATATTCTTAAGGCTCCTTAACCGAGACTGTCACCGTAGATTTCCAATTAGTTCCTTATTTATTAATGGATTGGATTAATTTATCGTGTGTCATGTTTCTACAATAGTTATGAACCCGAGGCAAGAACCAAAAATAATATTTGAAGAAAAATATTACTTTATTTTTTAAAATAGTAAGATTTTTACGATTTTTCTTCTTGGCCCGGATGTACAACAATAAAATAGAAACATTATTCCTATAGCACTTTTACGAAATATTAATAATAAGCTCGTAATTAGTAATTTACGGTTTTACATTAAATGTTAATATTTTGGAATATATTTTGCTTCCCGGATCTCACGAGCGATGATTGGTTAAAGAAAAAACATGTGGGCTGGCTATGTGAATCTCCGGCGAGTGGTTTGTAATGTAAAAAAACCGCAGACATACATAAAAAAAACAAGTTTTTAGACATATTTCTTGTCTACCGACTGCATACTATGAAAGGGAAGCTTACTTTTACTGATATCGTGTCCGAATCCAAAACTGTGTTTTTATAGTTACGATTTTCGATAGCGTTTATTAGTTGTTAATTTAGTTATAGTAGTTATTAGTAATTAGTTTATTAGTGATCTTATAAAATGGGAAAAGTGTCGAAAACAGTGTCGAGAAAGAAACATTTTCCTCCAAGTACAAAACGATATTCTCAAAAAAGAACGTATAAACTGAAACGGTAAATACTTTAAATATTAAAAAAAAAAATTATTTGATGTTACATTAAAATTATACGTAATATTTTATTTAGAGCGGCTCGTAAAATGGAAAGTACAAGTAGTAGTCTTGAAGGGCATCATGGAAACAAAAATGATTCCGGTCATATGTTTGCTGATGATGCCGGTGATGCATTAAATATTGAAATAGACAGTAATACCGAAAAGAATTTTTCTATCACAGGACGAAGGATTGTTGATATAGGCATCTTTTGGAAGCAAATAAAGAATATCAAACATGCTCCTTTTTTTAATTGTTCTATAGAACAGTGTGAAATACTCAATGAGAAATTAGTAGGATTTAAGACAATAATCACTGTAAAATGTAAAATGTGCGGTATTGAGAACACTTTGGACACTGATAAGAGTGAGACCGAATTGGATGTTAATTCAGCTGCAGTATTAGGTTAATAAGCATTGCGTTTTAATTGTTTGTTTTGAAATCTTGAATGTTAACGTGTTTAGGTTCAATTGCAGTTGGTATTGGATGCTACCAATTAAGACAGTTGTCGTCAATTCTAAATATTCCACCTATCTCTCCACCACTGTACCAAAGAACACATACACAATTAGCTAATATAATTGACTCTGTAAACACTGAAGAAATAAAAGAGGTTGGTAAATTAGAGGCTAAATTGGCAGTAGAGGAGAGTTCTGTTGATGAAACTGGAATTTCATGTATAAGTGTGATTGCCGATGGCGCTTGGTCAAAACGATCTTATCGCACTAATTACAATACTTTGTCTGGGGTAGGTGTAATAATTGGCAGTATGACAAAGAAGATTTTATATGTAGGCGTACGCAATAAGTATTGCATAACTTGTCAGAAAGCAAAAAATTAGAACAAAATTCCGAAAAAACATATATGTTACAAAAATTGGTCGGGTACATCAACCTCAATGGAGACCGATATAGTTGTGAGTGGTTTTAAAAGTAGTCTTGCAACGCATGGACTAAAATATTTAAAATTAATCGGGGATGGTGATAGTAGTGTAACAAAACAGCTAAAAATTCAAAAACCTTATG